TAACAAATCTTTAAATTAGCGATAAAAAATAACAAATAAATTATTCTATAATTGTTATTTAGTACATTTAACATTAATATACAGTTTAATGCATACCAAATTGAAAAACAATCCTCAAAAAGTTCAGTAATTTTGAAGTTTATTGGAAACCAACAATGTTGCACAGAATATTGTTACTTTTGAATACTTCATCTATCTAAAATAAAATATTAATTAGAAAATAAACAAGTAGGATGTACAATAGCAACATTTATGTTCATCTTAATACATACTTATAATTTTCTATGTACATATATATCTATATATACATATATGTATATAGTAGTTAATAACGTCTAGGATTGCGTAAGATGATATGCAACGCAATAACGCACCGTTGCTTGCCAGGTTAGAGACCCGACATACACAATAATGACATGACCTACCTACCTACACGTTTACTGGACTCTTTCGCCTGGAAATAAGTCATTTCTCTATTAAGCATCTCCCTTTTATTAAATGCGTTGGAGTTTAACAGTCCCGTTCATAGTCAACTAAACAGAGTCAACGTACCACCACCACCACCACCACTACCACTCATACACTCATTCATTCACTCACTAAGTTTGCCTAAATGTTTAATCACTATCATGTATATTAATGTACATATGTATTGTATGTATTGCATGTAATTGATATAATATGTGTGAGTGAGATATTAAATTATATTTCATAACCTATAATCGAATAAGGGAGGGGGTCAATGATTACAATAATGTTTTTATTTTAAAATTGCTTTTTTTGTTTGTTTGTAAAATAATAATTAGTGTTAAAAATATTAATATAATTATTTTATTAATTTATAATGAAATGATTTATATTAATAATATTTTTATTAGTTAAATAATTAAATATTATTATTAATTTCTAAACTGCGTAGAATTTATATTATTTTATATTTTTTATTATTATATTATTATTATTATATTATATTAATTATAAATATAACTATTATAATTAAAAATATAATTATTAATCTATAATTATATTTATAATTATAATAATAATTTAATAATTATTTCTATATTAATTTTATTACAAATCTAAGATTAAATAATATTAAGTTGAACTATATATAACATAATAATATTATTTAATTTAATCAAAAATTATTTATTTTTGTTTCAGATATTATTGCAATTGAATATTTGTCCAACATACGAATATTTATGAAGATAAACATTAACAAATATCTCGAGATGAAAGTATACTATTTTTTATAATAAAAAAAAAATATAAATTGTGTGAATTCAAAAGAAAGATCTCAAAAGAAGAAGAAGAAGAAGAAGAAGATGCAAGATGAAAGATGAGAAATAAATGTACACAGGTGGAATATCCAGGTGTAACAGTTGTTTTTCTCATTCCCATTCTCTAGTTGACTACTGGTTGTGTTCAGCCGAGCTTGCGAAAGTAACCGGAAGTTAGTGAGAGAGAAAGAAAAAAAAAAGGGAGAGAAGGGACATCCAGGATGTCCGAGGAGTTGCGCACGCAACGTTTAGGGACGTTGTCACACGGAGAATATACGATGGAAAATGAAGAAGAAATTCAGTATGCACCTAGAAGTCGTCCTGTTAGTTTTTATGACAATTTTAAGGTAAATCTCTAATTATTTAAATCTTAAAAAAAAATATATGTTTTCCATATCTAATAAATACAAATCACATTTTAAAGAGACACATGAAACGTACGTTTGATTGAAACGCGTTGTTGCGCGCGCAACAGGTGTATATGTTTGTGTTGAAATATTAATCACACACGCATTGAAATCTCTTTCGATACGTTATTAATCAATTCGAGATTACAGTGATTCTTAACTTTTTTTTTCTTCTTCTTTTTGTGTATTTTCTTATTGTAACTCGTGTGTTCATCGTCAGATTAATTTCTTTTCTTCATTGTATTTTCAATTGCACAAAAAGGAATATATATATAAAAAAAAAAAGAAGTTCCTTTTAATTTAATAATAATTATTTATCGAACAAACTTTTATTAGATAATAATCAAGCATTGAAATCTCTTCTCTAACGCGTAATTAATCTTTTCATCTTTTTTTTTTTTTTGACACATCATTCATCGTCAGAAGAAGTCACTTGAAGAATTCACTGTAATAAGTTCATTTAATTTCATTCACAATTGTATAATTATTAACAGAAGAATTATGATTTATAACTCGTAAATTTAATTGATCGTTACTTTAATTCTAATATAATAATAATAATAATGATAATAATTAGATTTGTATATTTTTGTTTTTGTTTTTTTCTAGGACGTATCGATAATGCCAACATGCGTGACCTCAGCGATGAGCGTTGGTAATTTGAGTCAGGTTCGAGAGAACGATAATACTTCATCGAATCTACCACAAACTAGTAACAATAATAATATTAATAATAATAATAATAATAATAGGGTTAGCAGTGCTATGAGTGCTGGTAATGTTTCCAAAATTCACACTGTCAGAGTTACGGGTAAGTTTAAATATATAAATATATAATTATATTATATTAATAATATACAATTTTAATTGAATAATATTAATATTAATATTACTGTATTATTACTAAAATTAATATTACTATATTATTACTAAAACTAATATTACTATATTATACTAACAAATTTGCAATAATTATATATAACTAATATTAATATATATATTATTAATAATTTTAATAATTAAATTAATATATAAATAATATCGAATATATAATTATTATTATTATATATATATAATAATTATACAAATAATATTAATATATAATATTAATAATTATACCATATGCATTATCTAATTTAATAATAATTAAAATTATGAACAAAAAAAAAAAAGAAGAAAAGAATAACTTTGAATTAAAGCTAGTAATTTTCTTTTTAACTTATTGTTAGATTAAGTTTAAAATTTTGTTGGCAACGATATAAAATCGGTCATAAGAACACGTTAAGATTCTACGAAAGTTACACCTAGAAATAGAATGACCGCGAACGTAATTCGTATCTGCACAAGAGTACGGTGTACATAATAAAAACGTTTTTGATATTTTCAAAGAAAAAAAAAAAATACACAAAGTTTCAATATATATAACAACAACAACAACAACAACGACGACGTAATTTTTGGTTCTAAATCAATAAGTTATGTTGTTACAGGTGCATTATCGATGGGTAACATTGGTAAAACATGTAGAAATGATAAAATGGAAAAAGAACTTGGACGTGCACCATCGATGGCCAATTGTTTGTCAACCACAGTTCCCGTTAATCTTGCTGCTTCACAAATAGCAGGTAGACACACACCCACAAGAAATTCTCTCAGGCACAGTAGAATGATCGTACTCAATCGTAATGGTCAAAGTAAGTTTCAATCAAGAAAATCATACTTTCTCTTATATTTAACATAATTTCAATGAATATCTCAACAAAAAACAAAACAAAACAAAACGAAAATTTCTTCAAAATAATTCATTGATTGATCAATCAAATCATTGATTGATGAATCAAATAATTTGATTGATAATCTAATTGAATTGCAAGCAAAAGAAAAGTCTCATGAAAATAATTCTTCATAAAAAAAAATAAAAAAAATGATTAATTGTTTGAACAATTAAATTGACATGTTTAAAAAAAAAAAAAATTAATACAAAATAAAAGTAAGTAAGTAAGTAATGCACACCAATGAAAAGAGTACACGTTAGATAACGGAAGTTGTTATGTGAAATAGAATGACGTCGTGGTGATAATTCGTAGCAATGCAATTACACCATTATAACGTGCTTGTTATTTCTTACGTAAGATACAAAACTTGTTGTAACTATTATTATTCATGCATCGGGGCCATCGGATAATGAAAACTTGACAGACTCATACATTTTCACGATTACTTTAGTTGATAGTTATTCTAAAGTACGTGGAAAACACTTCTGTTACCTAAGATTTTACCTTTCAACTAAAACTTAAAGAATATCAAAAAGAGAAACAAATATTAATAAATAATATTGTTGTTTCAAAATTAGAAAATATTTATAAATATTAATAATATCATATAATTAATTAAATAATATAAATATAAATTTCACACACACACATTAAATAATATAAATATAATCAATTAAATAATATAAATAATATAAATATAATTATAAATATATTTATACATATATATGTATGTGTGTATATCAGTGTGGATGAATTATACTGATGATAGTTCGATATCCATGACAAGGACAGCTGGTTGACTTGATCGTTCATGTTAAGATGCCATGTATGGAGGGATAGTACTTACAATCCAACCATTCGTTCCGTTTCACCAAGATTTTTTTTTTTTAACAACACTCCTCCATGAATTCCCATCGTGTGTGTGTGTGTGTGTGTAGCATGTGCTTCTTATTTCTTATGAGATGCTATGAGAAATAAAAACGTTTCTCTAACAAATTATTATTTCAACTTCATACCGAAACGCATTTAGAAAGCTCAGAGAAAATCTAAACCGTGGGAATGAAATTGATCACGTTTATCAACGTAATTTAATAATTATTAATTAATTAATTAATTTATTTTGTAATGTTTATTTAAATGTTTATTTTTAGGAGCACCAAAATTTTTACCACCATTGGTTTATCATGGACAATTGGCTAAATGTTTGGCAGCATTGCAGACAATACTTGGGATTGCAATTATTTCATTATCTTTATGGTTGTTATTATGGGCTCCAAATTTACCTATCACTGATAACCCATATTGGAGTGGAATGCCTGTGAGTATATTAAAGTCATCTCTAAATGAATAAACAATTAATTGATTTGATTCTTTTCTTTTCAGTTATTACTTTCAGGAAGTTTTGGTGTATGTTTGTTGTGTTGTTTCAAAAAAGAATATCCAGGTATGAGTCCAGGTGTTTGTTTAACATTAACCAAGGTAAGAATATAATTAATTATAATATTTCCAATTATTTATGATATAAAAATAACATTTAACATTTTGATATTAAACAGGGTATCAGTGCATTGCTTGCAATATCAGCATCTGTTGCTTGCATCCTAGCATGCATTTCAGCAGCAATGCATTTGGCACTTCTTATGAGATTGGAGTGTACACCTGCACGTGTATTAAACGCCACGTGTGTTTGTAGGCCACGAGGTGAACAACAAGGAAATGCAACGATGACTGCTATCACAGATGCATCATCAGCTGTTGTCAAATATTTGGATTTAAATTGTCCCGAAGTAGAAAGTATATTAACAATATTATTAATATTTTCATCAACTTGTAATGCATTTGGTGCAATTGTTGCTGGATGGTATAGTTATCTTCATTGGAGTACCAGACGAAAAAGACCTAAATATGTACCAGTTAGAACTATGGTGTTTGATTCAACTAGGTGATGATATATTTATCAAACTGTTTTCTTTTTTTTTTTTTTTGTTTTTTGTTTATTTGTTTCATCGACCAAAGTATATATTCGACGATTTAAATAATAACACAGTGATGTTTAAATAATTTTTTAAAAAGTGATATTATAAATTCAATCTAATGTAATGTAAAGTAGTACAAGGATTCTTCTTCTTATTTTTTTTTCTTTTTTTTTCTTTTTTTTTCTTCGAAACGTTTTTATCGTTGTCAAGGTTTGCAACTATGCACAAAACGATCAGTATTTATTTAAAAGAAAAGAGAAAAGAAAAACAAACTTAAACACGTTTCATACCACGTATGGAATTATCTTAATTGTAATGCGTGTATGTGTGTATGTATGTATGTATGTGTGTGTGTTTTTATGCATGCGTGATCAGACGTTAATAAACACGTTTGTTCGTATGAAAGTTTAAACGAGATCTGTTAGAAATATTTCTCAATTTATAAAAACGAAAGACTACGAAAAACTGCATACCTCAGTGTGTTAGATTATTTCGACACTTGCTAATTTAGCAATAAGTACCTAACAATTTTATTACGCATATAAATATATATTTTATATAATAATAAATAAATAATATAACGTGTGAATTTTTTTTTTTATCGAGGATAATATATTGTCGATAACAGTGTATTTGTTTGTCAATGAAAATTGTGCCCACAAGTTTTAATATATTATTTTCATTTTCACATTCAATATAAGTTAAATTCATCGTCAAATTTTGTGTACAATCATTTCACTTGTCATATTTTCTTCTTTTTTATTTTATTTGCTTACCAAATATGAATATTAATGATTGATCATTTTTTAATCCTCGTTTATTCGAATCTCTTCTGAATATTTGTTTCAATCAAAATTGTGCCCGAAAGTTTGAATATTTCATTTTCACATTCAACATAAGTTAAATTCATCGTCAAATTTTCTGTACAATTATTTCATTTCATAGTATTCTTCTTACTGGACGATGATTCTAAAGAATTGCTACAAAGATTGATATTCAAAATTGAAATACATGGTATAAAAATAATAATAATAAATAATAGAGAGACTCATATATACCTGGCAGAATCTTGAACCTTGTAACAAGTTTTGTTAGAGGCATGCTGTTGATGCAAATTCGAATCATGTGGCAAAGATTCAGGTTCACAATCGGTAATACCAACTTCTTCCGAGGTTATAGAATATTTTCTTTCATTCATCGCCAACTCGTCTGGTTTTTCAATCACGATCACCGTATAGGAATCGTCTTAACATATAAAAAAAAAAAAGAAAGAAAAAAAAAACAAAAAGAAAAAAAATAGGAACTCGTTGATTATGCAACCGTTCGAATTATCTTTTCTGTTTTATTTCGTTAGATAAATCTATCCTCGTATTATAATTTTAAATATCATTACAAAAAAAAAAGAAAACAATTAACGTGCAATACAAACCGGTTGAATTTTTACATTTATTTGAATTACTCGATGGTAAAACTGGCAAGATTTGTTTCCATCTTGTGAACAAAGGTGCATCTATGGCCTTTTGTCTTTTTTCAGCAATCTTAAATAATTTCCGTCTTTCTTCCGTACGTTCTTGACGTAATTGTATCTAAAATATTTCAACAGATTTAATAATAATAATAATAATAATACATGATATATTTGATTTATTACGTGTTAATCCTTTCGTTATTAACAAAACTCATACAAATGTACAGCAACAATTTAATGTAATTTAATTCAACTTCTATCAAAGTACGACTTAACGAATGGATTAATGATTTAAATATAGATTTTTTCAATGAACTATATTCTACAATTGAATTTATAACCTTTAAATCATTATTAGCTTCCCTAAGTGATCCAGTAAGTGATACCATGTAATAAATGATTAAAGTCATCAAAACAATTAATGGTATTACCATACTAGCTGATGAAATATAATCGAGACATCTGAAATCACATAAACAGGGGTGTTTCAACTTAATTTCAATTATAATTTGATGTTCGTGATATAAATGAAAATATTGTTAGAATAAATGACTCACGGTTTGATTACTTCAGGTAAACTGTCTTTGAGACTTTCAGTAGCGAACATGTAAATTCTTGGATAACCCGAAAATGGGCCACAATGCCAAGATGGTTCAACCCAAACAATGGCATAACCAACTGGTAATACGCATAAAAATAACATCATCAATAATAATGCGAAATAAAAATTGTTTGACCTAAAGAAAAATAAAACAAAACTCATCATTGTTTAATTGTTTCCCTTAAGTTTATAATTAATTAATTAATTAATTAATTATTATAACAATGAATTTACCTGGATGCACGAAAAACTATTTCATGGGGTACATTGCAAGTTAAAACAGCCCATGAACGTAAATACATTAATATCCCTAATTTCAGAAGATTCAGCATTGCCAAACCAGGACTGAAGAACATACCCATCCAAACCATACCTTGATTGTTAACCAAGTGAAGTATATTTTCAGCAATTTTAAAATCACCGTATTGCGGAAATTGTTTTTCCAGATCCCAGCACCAACAATTGTTCATGTAACGTACGAATACTGCACGAAAAAAATCCATACCAAGTGTGGCACCAATTGTCATTACCTTTAACAAGTTCAAACAATCAACTATGAATATTTTATAATGCACAATGTAAACAAAATATTTTACATCAAACAATGTCTTATTTTCATTACCAAATCCATAACAGTTAATTTAGCAAGTTCCTGTCCATACATCGTTTCCCAACAAAGTCGTCGCATTTCCTTTCGCGTTTTCAAATCTAATTTTTGTACAGGTACCTCTAACAAAATGTTAACAAAAAAATTATTTCTACATTTTTTTTTATACATAACATTAATGTTTTCACACATTAATATCATTATTAATATAATATACAATTTAAATATATAACACAAACCTTTTTGTGTTATGTGATTCGTACAAACTCTCTCGTAACACATAATCATTTGTTTATTTCCATTATTATTATTATTATTATTATTATTATTATTATTATGAATAATTACAAATTCGTTAGGTTTGTTAGAAGTATTAGAAGTGTTAGTTAATTCGTTGTTATTTGTATTCGTATTAATTTTAAACAAATTGTATTCTGTCGTAGTATCTTTTATTTCATTCGTAATATCAAATTTAATTGTACTCAAATTAATATCATATTCTTCAGAAATATTAGTATTATTATTATTATTATTATTTAACGTGACAAATGTATTTTCATTAGAATTATTATTTGTTGAATTTTCTGTCAATATTTTTATCCAAGTATCATCATTTTCAATCAACATTTCTGTCGAATTGTCAATTAAATTGACATCACTTTGATTATTCATTTCCATGTTCAAATTATAATCAATCATTCGTAATGTTTCATTAACAATTTCATTATCAATCATTGTAGTTGTTGACCATGTATAATTCGATTCATCATCGATATTTGAAATATTATCGATTATCGAATTACCATCGTAATATTCTTCCGAATTAGAATTGTAATCACCATGATAATAATTAAACTGAGTATCATCCGATAAAAATTGTTTGATTAAACCATCGTATTGTACTGTAACTATAATTATTTACAAAAAAAAAACAAAAACAATTATATATATATAATTTAAAACAAGAATTTTAAACCCCTTGTGTCCTAACAGCTGACTCCCAATTGTTTGAAACCACAATTAACAACAAATTACAAGAATTGTTTAATTATTTGAAAGAATTGCAACGTAACTGAATGAAATATCACAAAGTTAGGTTGATGTTTATTATATTTGGACCCCCATATTAACACATTGACAGTCGGACCCACGAAAACGCGGGTTGTTTCTGAGAAGACTGTCCTTTGACAGCACCGGCCCACCCCACGAAAACGCGGGTTGTTTCTGAGTTTGTCGTTTGTGTAGCTGCCCCACGATGATGTGGATTTTTTTTTGCTAGTATGAGTGTCTTACACATTGATTTGTATTTACTTGCCATTGTTTTGACTATTCAGTGATCAGAAATAAGCGAATAAGGTCACCGTTCGGAGTTTAAATGTCTTTAAGGTCGCCGACTGGCAATGTGTTAATGTTGTAGGACAAGGGATTCATTTTGAATGTACATTTGTTCATAATACCATCAGATTGATCTTGTTTGATAGAATGATCAGTAATATTTGCATAAGCAACACTTCCCATTAACATTAAACTGAGTGATGCTAAAGTAACTGCTGATGATTCTGAATCGATGAAATTACCGACACATTCTACAGGTGTTAATGTACAATTTCGTTTGGCAGGTATTAACTCGATCGATGAATTTTTCTAAACATATAAATTGAATATAATTGTAGGACGAGTGTCTCCGTGCTAAATTTATCGGGCATTCGTGAGAAGGATTGGTCGATGGGCCCTGGATAGCTCAATTTGGTTGAAAGAGCAGTTGCCCAGAAAGCAAAAGATCTGTGGTTTTCGAGTCCCAGTTTTCAGTCGGTCCCAGCGATCCAATTTTTGTCACGAATCCCACATAATTGAAACCCTTAAAATATTACGTACCATGGAACTTATTTTGCTGAAAAGGGCGAATATTAACGTGTACAAATTTAAAAGATGCAAAACCATTATTCTGCAATGAAAAATAAAACATCCATGTTGAATGTTACGAATTGTATTGGGAAATTGCAACGAATTGAAATTGTAATAATTACCGTGCCAATTGTACTCTGAGTTGTTTTCGTGGATGATAATTTTCTAAAAGACCTAACACTTCGAATATTATTGGAAATATATAAGAAATCAATGACATAACCAATGTTATTTCATTTTGTGTCCACCAATTATTAGTTTCTTCCGCTTCAGCACTTCTAGCAACTACTTTGACCACGATAAATGCTGACAATGTTAATAAAAGTAATACGGAAACGTTAACGAAACTTCTCGTCAATATTATTTTCCAACTAAAATGTAATCAAATATATGATAGTTAATTTAAACGAAACAAAAACAAAAAAAAAACAAAAAATTTGAAATTGATAATAATGTTTCAATCATTTCTCTTTTCTCACTTTCTTTTCTTATCTTTTTCTTTCTCAGCTTCTTCCAATAATGTTTCTTTAAAACTAACTATTATACTTGCTAAACGATTATGAGCTGTTTCAGGATTACCGATCATAAAATCCCAACCGGTAAAAAGTTTCCATGAGAATGCACACTCATCTTCTTTCTCTGTTAATTTACTTAAACGAGAATTTTTTGCCATTCTAAAAAAACAAATAATAATATTAATAACTTTACAAAAAAATCTATAAATATATATCATCTTTTAAATATATAATAAAATAAAATAATGTGTGTGTATATCACACACAAGAGTCGGAAGTGAAACCTTCAAATAAACAAATTTCGAAGTTAATTTATTATTATAATATTATTTGTATTTTTAATTTGTAATTATTAATTTAATTAATAAAAATGTGCGCCTGTTTGTATGCAACCCTCCAGACACAGTTTGAAAATGTTGCTTGCGAGCGACATCTATTGAGACGAAATTTTTTTCCACTCAAAACTGTTTATACACGCGTGTATGACGGGTTGCCGATCTTTCGGGCAGAAGAAAAATTTCGTCCCGACAGATGACGCTCGCAAGCAACATTTTCAAACTGTGTCTGGAGGGTTGCATTCATACAGGCTCCCATAAATTTTTATAATTATTACAAAGAAAGTAAATAATGATAAAAATTGAACTCTAATATTGTAATTAATTTATGGATATTTTTAGAATAATATTTAGTATTTCTTTTTTTCAAATTACATTCATTCTAAAGAAGTTTTCACTTCAATAATTTGTTTTTGTATGAAAAGTTAATGTCAAATGTTAATAAAAATATATCAAGTGTAGAATCATTTTAGTTAAATATTTTGATTATTTTATTTAAATAATATTTGACGCTAACTTTTCACATGATTCAATTTAATAAACAAATATTATAAATAAGTGAAAAATGTTATTATATATATATATATATAAATAAATACTTTCGTAATATGACAACGAAGCTGTAAGTGTAGACAACGAGATTGGTGACAAAATATGCTAATGGTAGTCTGTAACTTTTCTTCGAATCGTAATTGGTATACCATCCGTAAAAAAATGGCGAATATCTGAGAATACCCTCGAATTCCCATAATGTCATTAAATGATTAGATTTCATGCTTTCCTCCTTCGGCATTATTTTTCTTTCACCCGCTAATTTAACGTCAGCTATGAGCATCTGATGACGACAACAAAAAAAAAAGGAAAATAAAATGTTTTGAATAAAATTTGGTGATTATAAGAATTGATTTTAATGAAATATAATAATTTACCTCAGGAACTGCTACGAATGCTGTCAATGTTATCGTAATCACAAAATTAATCCAAAATAACCATCTTAAAAATGTAAAATAGGATGCTACGGCCGAACCAAAATGAGATTCGATTTCTTTGATACGAAGTTCCCATGGTATGAGCCAAGTTTCAAGATTAATGAATTCTCGTCGAAAATATTGCCATTTCTGTGATACAAATTGGAGACTGTTTTTTTTTTTTTAATCATTTATTAAATAAAATTTGTGATCATAGATTGAATTTATTTGTTGATTACCTTTGTGATTAAAAGAGAAACACGTGCAACAACGTCCTTCGTGTTACGATTTTGTGCTAATTTTTCTTTCAATACACCCTCGTGTTTTCTAACATACAATTTTGCTTGTCTAACGAGTTTCATTTTTTTACGCAATGGCCATGGTTCTTCCTTAACACCGTTCAAAACTTCTTTGTGTAATTTTAATTTTTCAAAAATTTGTTCTTGCGTACCACCCTCGTCAATTGAGATACCAGTTCTGTTTAGAAACAATCAAACAAATCTATATTTTTAATAATAACACAATTTGAAACATCTTAATAAAATAAAATACTACAAAGTTGATTTAAAAAAAAAGAAAAAAATGTGTAATAAAATTAAATTGATAAAATGTAAATTAATATGATAATAAATAATTAAAAAAAACATTGAAAATGATTACTAACTCGACTGAACTATTCGTGTAAGCTGATGATGGTCTTCGAATGACATTGGAATCTTCACCTTCCACCATAAAAGGTGATGAAGTACGTCGTTTACGTTTACTCAATCGTTTAGATGAATTACGTCTTAAAATAATGGCGGATGCAGATGCAGAATAATCATCTTCTTCACGTTCATCACATTCTTCTTGTTCCTCATGCTCGTCTAAAAGAAAATCAATTATATTTTCTTTCCAATTTTCATTGACGAACACTAAGAAAACTATACACATACACATACACACTTTGAAATTTATTACTAACCGATGTTTAATTTGTTTAACATTTCCGATTGGTTAATTGCAGTACGTTCATCGTCAAGTTCACGTATTTCACTCATAACACTTTCCTTATTTTGATGTTTCACGTTAAAAAATGTGACAGAAGGTTTGTCGATCAATGAACAATTGGTTTCAATCTATAAAAGTAATGTTAAATAATAATAATTAAAAAAAAAAAAAAAACGAAACAATAACAATAAGAAGAAAATCTTTTTCATGATTTATCAATGAATTAAGTAGCAAATGAATTCTAGTCACGCTAACTGTTGTTTTTAAGTTACCACCTTTTTATTTTTATCTTCCCCTTTATATATATATATATATAATACACTACTTAATAAAAGTAGTTTAAGTGTCTTATCATTTGTTAAATTCTGATATTTAATTCAGTGATTTGATTATCATGATTACACACATACACATACACACCTGTTAAATCTTTGAATTGTTATTTGAAATACAAAAGGCAAAACGTTTGATTTGAATGATTAAAACATGAATTACTGAATTACATTAAATAAATGAAATATTTATTTATTTATTTATTATTATTATTATTATTATTATGAAAGTATTATGTAAGAAGATAAAAATGTGATTTTTGTCCTAACTGCATCGATGGAACTAAACCAACTGAACAACATACCAGTAGTGGACAACCTTTTCTTTCAAAACCTTTCTAACCGCACCTATTCTCACCCTTCTTACACCCTTCCACTCGATAATATCGTTTTATCTCTTCTTTCTCAAATAATAAACCTTTCGTTCCCAATGAACTATAATTAGTGACAAAAAAGAAAACTACCCTCCTATCAGTCTAAAAAAGAAAATAAATATGAAACCTTAGATTTGAATCTTTTCGATGAAACTTCATGAAAACAAACAAATCTTTGATAAAACGAAAAACCTTGAGGCAATCCTAACGTTTAGATTTAATCTTCATAGTGTTTAATTTATCAATAAAACAAACAAATCTGACACAACCCTAACACAACCCTAAAGATTTAATCTTCAGACACAGTTTAATTTATCAAAAAAAAAAAAAGAACCGTACAATACTTTCTACAGTTTGTATTTGTTTGTCTCCTCATTATTATAATTAATAATATAAAAGTCAAATCACATGTTGACAAATAATTTACGTAGAATTTGTTAACTCATTTTTATCCCTGACCTTTAATTAAAAATAATTAAAAAGTAATGACTCAACAATATTATATAAAAAAAAAAAATTGCATCAAAAGTTTCATTCAATGTACTAAAAAAAAAAAAAAAAATGGTGTGCAACATTTCAAAATGATATTGATACAAAAAAAAAAAAAAAAAAAGTGAAGATAATTAATCGTCACAAATGTTACAAATGTGTGAACAAAAAGAAAAAAAAAATACTTGAAGACTCATCGTGTATATACAATAAACGATCGCGACGATGCCACACCCTTATAAAACCATTCGTCCTTTCTTTCTTTCTTTTTTTTTGTGTAGACTCCACCCTTTAGTTTCATAGTAATCGTCGTATTTTTTATTAAACATACGTGCAACACGCGATGATTTTTTTCTTAACAAACAAACCCCTTCCGAAAAGAGAAAAAAATCACCTACGTCGAATGAAACAGATAACAGGGGTTTGTTTTATTCTCAAGGTGTTTAACCAAGGGTTTGTGTATATTTTTTTGAAATTGTGAAAGTGTGAGGGTTGAAATGAGGGAATGAAGACACATGTAACAAATAATTTGTCCAGTAATTCCCAATGATACAGGTACATTTACAGATTATTTTGTAATTTGTTCGTTTGATGTTTTTTTTTTTTTCTTTTTTGCAATGATATTAAAGATAACAAAAGATCGAGTATTCTGAAAAACATTAAGCCTATATCCTAAGGGATTTATCTAATACCATATTCGATTATCCTTCAGTTCTCTCACGCGATGATCCACCCACACAACCTCTTCTAATTTCATTTAATTATGTTCAATGGAAATCGAAAGCTTCGGGAATGTTCACTCAAGGATAGATTAATTATAAATTTGTGTAATCATTATCTTAATGTTCAATCTTATTTTCTATCGTTGATCCAGCAACTTTTAACTTTAGATAATTCATTTTCTTTGATTATTTTGTTATTGAAAATAATCTTGCAAATATATTCAAGTAAATGTCACAATGTTGCAAAATGTAATATTCAATCTTATTTTCTATCGTTGATCCAACAACTTTTAACTTTAGATAGTTCATTTTCTTGTATTAATTTGTTATTTTAAAGTAAAACAATAATTAATGTAAAGTTATTTTGATAATTAATATAAAATATCTGTGAGTATTGTTTTAAATTTAAAACGTTGTCTTAATTGTCAGGAAATAGTTTGAAACAATTTGATGAAGATCATTGAAAATAATCTTACAAATATTCAAGTAAATGTCACAATGTTGCATTAAATTTCAATCAATTTGAAATACATCAAACAAATATTATTAAACAATTATAAAAATACAATTAATAATAAAAAAGAAATGTGTTAATTATTGAAACCTATTTCAAACTGTTTCCTTTAAAATACTTGATCAACAAAATATATATTTAAATATCAAAATATATCAAACTTACTCTTCTCAATATACCGGGTATCCTTTTTCTTTCCATATTTATTGATTGACACAAGCCCCAAGATAATTTTCTAATTAAATTGTAATCCTTTCTTTGACGTGACAAACCAAATCTACAATTTTATTTGTAATATTTCTTTGATAAAAAATGATTTGAACAGATTTTACATTGTTAGACCGTCTTTACCAAGATTCACCAAGGTACTGTTTGATAGAAACGGAATTCGCAATGATATTTCTACTAATGAATACAAGCCAACTTTATTAACTCATGGGTGTTAAAAGGCATCAACACGCATCCAGAGTGTATAGCACGAAATAAGTGATTGCTGTCGACTACATATGTCGACATTGTGGATATACCACGTGGAATAAATATTAACCAGATAAATCATCACTTGTTGACGCGTCTTTTTTCTTATTTTTTATAAACAAAACAAAACAAAACAAAAAAAAGTAGAAGAAGAAATTCTTGCAAAACTATTTTCAACCCCCCAAAAAAATACACGTGTATTCTTCTCTCTTTTTTCTTTTTCTTTTTCTTCTTTCGACAGGATAATACAAAGATTTATTTACATATTTAAAAAAGAAGAAGAAAAAATAAAAAAACACTTGGCGCACATTAATTCCTTTGGCACAAGTCAAAATTACAAGTTACGTGTTTGACTTTTTATTAACAAAATAAATAAGAATCGTTCAATTTTATTCTCGTTTAACGAAAATAATCTTAAAATAATCTTTCAAGTTACTTTAAAGTCTTAAAGAAACAAAATATATATGCTATATATATATATAAGTCAATTATTTCGTAGTATGACGTGCCCAAGTTGTCCTTTTGACCTGAGTCATTAAATCATTTCTCGGTGGTAGACGTGCACTGGTTGTACGAGTTGGTGGTGGACCAGGGGAACGTAACATGGCGTTTAATTTCTTCTGAGTTTGTCCTTTGTCATTATTATTAGAATTTAAAGAATTTTCTTTGATGGACAATTCTTTAACAACCATATTCCCATCCGTACGTTTGCCTTGCGGTGGTGGATCCAAAACTATCGGTGGTATCTCATCTTGACTATAATAACGTTCTTGTTTGATCATATTAATATCTAACGATGATGAATTGTGATCATTGACCTTACAAGGTAACGGTTTAATGAACGACGATTGTTGAATATCCGCATTTTCAGCGATGCTCGTAGCTGTTGTCCTGTAATTATCCAATTTGTGATTCATAACAGGTGACGGAGTAAAACTATTGGGTTGAGAGACTCTCAACGATATTGAATTTGGTGAAAGTTGTGACGAGTTCTGTAAAAGAAAAAACAACAACAACAACAACAACATGTTACTAGATGTGAATACACACACACACACACATATCAATAATGCAAACGTTGATATTGTTATGGAAATAATTAGACTTACCGATGGCCTGGAATTAGGAGACAATAAAAATCCTGGTTGCATTGCGTACGGTGATGGCGTACCGTACGGTGATCTTTGACTTTGGTATGGACTGATATTATGAAGTCTTTCCATTAATTGCGCTTGGAAATGTAATTGATCCGTAGAACTGTTGTTTCCTTGAATTCCCATAACACCAAGGCTACCAGGATGATACAAAGAATCCATAGAATATGGGCAATACGTAAATGCCGATGGATCTGATTCCCAAGATAAACTTTGTTCTCCGCTTCGTTGACAACACTGTTTAATAAGATCAAATATTATTATTATTATTATAACACGTCATAAAACTTATTATAAAACAAAACCAAAACAAACAAAAAACTGTATTTTAAATGTCATTCAAATTAAAACATGGTACTTTCCTGTATACAGTTTCCGTGCAAATGAAACTCACACATACCGAAACTGTAACATTTATTAATATTTATTATAACATACGCATAAACATTGATATATATTAATACATAAAAGCAAACAAGAAAGAAAAATCATTACCACCATATTGTTTTCTTTTTTCTTTTTTTTTTTTTTTATTATTAATTTTAATTAACAAATGAAACAAAAGACATTACCTAGCATTTATTGCTTGCGAGAAGTCCATAATCTTGTGCGAAGACCTGTCGGACAACATTGTCATACACTGGCACTTAGCAGAATTATTGTATTAGCGATTTAGCTTTGATTATTCCACCATCTTGACGAACAACATTTTAGAGAAAGATTTTGATTGGTAGTAAGCAAAAATATTCATCAAAATCTTCCAAAATATGAAAGTGTATGTGTCTGTATGTATTGTTGATGATGATAATGATGATGACAATGACGATGAAGTTTTAAATATATATATAGTTAATTGTGATGCTTATAAGTTAATTAAGGTTAAGAATTTTTCTATAGAAATTCTTCAACGTTTCAACTTCAATACCAAGGAAGAACTTATGTAAATTAGAAACGATATTTAAACACTATTTGACTTTTTTAATAGTCTCTTTCTCTCTCGACAAACAAAAGAACATTCTCCGTTGTTTGTTAAACGATGAATGAAAGGAAAAAACCTGTCCTAGTTGGTTGGTTTGTTTGTTTGTTTGTTTGTTTGTTTGCAAGCTGCATGCCGTACACGTTTTTTTATTCGACTAATGTTAAACAAAAGGAAAAGAAATATTGCGTACGCGTAAATTCCTTTGATTCTCAATTAGTTAACAAATAAAATGTTCAATTAAAAAAATATTATCGCATACACACATATATATATATATATATATCATTTTTTAACGTTGTGATCGCATAACAAATTTTCTACAAGAAATTATAATCAAACATAAATGACTAAAATACAACTCTCAACGACGTTCTTGTTCTTGTTTTTGTTGTTGGTTGCAAAACGTATATAAAAAAAAAGTGTCCATGTAAATCGGTTTATTATAAAGTTAAGGAAAAAAAAAATAGAAAAAGAAGACGAAGACTCTCGATACAAAAAAAAAAAAAAAGAGAGACTGTTACGATGATGTATAAAACAAACAAAAACAAAATGCATCGGGTTAATGAAACAAAAATGCAAAATAACGTTGTTGGTGCACAGTAGGCGTCAGACGAGAATAGATTTGCTGGTTCCCCCATTGTTTTTTTGTTTTGTTTTTTTTTTTTTCATGGAATTCGGTAGAACGTTACCTGGCCAAGATTAGGTAAATCAGGAATGGTTGATGAATGTTGTTGATTTGCCGTATTTGTCGTATTCGTAGTTGTCGTCGTAATTGACGTTGTATTAGACGATACAGGCAACATTTGTGATTGCGAATTTAAATGACCACTGGATATACGTTCTTGTTCCCTGAGATGACCAACCAATGCTCCTATATGTTCCAACAATTCCTTATTTTGCACTAACAATTGATGCGTACGCGTCTAAATAATAATCAAATGTTATATTAACGTTTTTAAATGGATGCAATCAAAATGATGTTTGTTTATATATGTATACTTCTTGGTATAATAGTTTCAAAACAAAATTAACTCACCAATATCGTCAGATTTATATCTAACATTTTATTACCTGTGCTTCGATGCGTGCAGCAGTCTCTGCTGCAAGCTGATCCTGTAGTAGTTTCGCATGAGCTACTGCAGCTCTGGTTTGTTGACTCTGTTGCTCTAATCTTTCTCGTAAAAGTTGTATCTCGTGTTTGAGTGCAGTTAATTCGCCTCCAACCAATAAACCAACACCACCACCGCTACCACCACAATCGGATGCTACCGTACCCTATTGGAATTGAAAATATATTTCAAATGTTTATTCGAATAAATGTTTTCATATTTTTTATTTTATAAATAAATAAATAAATAAATAAATAAAAATGTATACCGATGGTGATTGTCTGATAGGTGAGGTAGAAGCTGTGGTTACTGGAACATCGTGAGATCTTAAAAAACATGACACTGAAGATTGTTCTTGTATCAAATCCTCTGCTTCTCCCAACAACGATATATCTGTAAAAATTATTATAAATAATAAAACTTTAAATACCAAGCCCCAGATAAAGAAGGAGGGTTTGAGGGTGAGGCTAACAACCCTCTCAGAACTAATATTACAATCTTTTTAATTTAAAAAGAAGAAAATAATTGAATACCTTTGTGCAACGTCAACGGGGATGGTTGTGATTGTTCTAAATGATTTTCATCTTGTTCCTCGTAAACGTCACGATGATTCTCATTGCTATGATCCTTATCCTTATCCTTTTCACCACGTTCTCTATCTTCATTAGCATTATTTACACTTAATTTATGGCACACCTCGAATGCTTGGCCAACGGTTCTAACAACCCTCATCGCTTGGCTCTGGTAAAATCAAAATCTTTCAATTTCAATTGGTAAGATAGTATTATATTTATTTATCTTACGACGAGTTTCTAATTGTCATTTTTTTTTTCAATTTATAATTAAATGTAATTAATCCTTTGGTTAGAAAAATTCACACTCTTACAATTAGGTTTTTGAAACTCGTACAACTTTGGTGAATTGTTTCAACGTGTTAGGGTTGCGTCAAGGTTACGTTAGAATATTAGGTATCTTTAAAATATATATTTTTAGTAGGATTATATTTATAATACGAGTTATAATTAATAACATAATATTAAATAAAATTGTTGGTCAAATCAGCAACCATTTACTATTTTTTTTATATATATTGTATGTACCATGCTTGCAATTTAATATAATTTTGATTGTTTTTTTGTTTTATTACCTCGAGTTCCTCGCATTCGTCAGTCTCATCCTCGAAAGGATTTTCATCGATGTTAACAACGTCAATCGAAGCAGAACGAATTGTTTGCAACGTTGATGCACTTTTATTACGAACAAATGGTTTTCTTAATTTGAAATGATTCAAAATTGTTTCCGGTTCTTTAAATGAAAGTTTTTTACGCGGTTTCAAAGAATTTTCACATTCCGGAACTGTTGATTGATTCGGAGATGAAGTACCAACGGAAATGGGATTTGCCAAGGTCGTTGAATTAACCCCGGTATTCTTCGTCCAATTTTTTAACATTTCGTTTAAGTTTGACTTAACGATCTAAATCCTGAATTTTTCCAATAGAAATATTTCACATTCGTAATTAAATAATAATAATAATAATAATAATAATTCAGGAAAATTATTATAAAATTGATAGAAACAAAAATTGAACAAATTAAAGGTGAATTCTCACGTGAGTATCAAATAAATGATTTCTCTTTCTCTTTCTCTTTCTCTAAATGCTATGAGAGTAGTAAATAACCAAAGTTTATTTGTATGCCGGATACACAGTCGTTTGGAATAACAAGCAGAACACTAACACACACACAAACATATAAAAAGAAATCATACAACAAAGAGATATCTCTATGTGTAGGTATGAGTATATATCTAATTGTAAAATTGTTTGTAATATTTAATTTTCTTTTGAATATTTAATTAACCTTTTTTTTTCTTATTTAAACCAATTGATTTTTAGTTTTGAAACGACTAGGGTGGTACCGATGAAGTCAAAAGAAAAAATGTAATAAATCAAATATGTCTCCTAAACAAAACAAAAAAAAAGAAAATTCGTTTGACAAATAAAAAATAAAAATAAAAATAAAAATGTTAAACAATTGAAGATTAATTTATAAACAAAAAAAAATATATATATTAATATAATTAAACAATAATTATTACATCAATTATAATAATAATTTGAATTTTAATTTGAAAATAAATGAATTTTAATTGGAAAACGACTATGGTGGTACCGATGAAGTCAAAGGAACAATTCTAATAAGAAAGAAAAGACAATAATTGAAGAATGCAAATATTAAAAATAAAAAATAAAGAATATAACGAGTATACGAAGGAAGAAAAGAAACTTTAGTAAAGGGTTAAAATACATGGCTACCTAACACCATTTCCATCGATGTGAACCTCCTTCCTTTCTTTATCTTTCTTTCTTTAGCCGATGGCAAAAGGAATCGATAAATCGTTTTGCTCGTAACTTCCTTCGAAACTATAGCCGATATTTTCTACTAACATTCGACGATGTATATAACACGATACTTACTCTACTATCATCCAACGATTCGATTACACAAACATTTTCAACACCGGTAATAAACACATTTATTTATTTCTCACACTTTCACTAAACATTTTTTTAACAACCACCCATCTGTCCATGTGTCCAACCATCCATATATATATATATATACAAGGTGAGCTATGACCATGATGATTTTTTCATTATGCAATACACACAAATTTACAAAATTAATAAAATACTACTAACAAATAATTCGAATTTTATAATTAAATATTTTTAATAAATATCAAACTTTTGTCTATAATCAATTTTGAAGATATTTAATTATAATAACACCCATTATATTTAATAATATTTATTAATATTAATATTTATGTTAACTATATATCAAAGTTTTCTAAATTGTATTATACATTAACTTAGTACCAATTTTTGAAACACAAACCATATTAAAAATAAAATACAAAAATAACAGACAAATTTCCCATTTTGCTATTTATCCAAAATTTCAATTAATAATTTGTATAAAAAGATGGCGCAAGATTTAGGGTTAGCAAAATTGCTATTAGCAAATATTGCGTTAGCAATATTTGTGACGATGAACTTTCAAGTTCCTAATGCCAATTAATAATAATAATACTCTTGCAATTTATCTTACAAATAAATGATCAATTTATCCTAAATTTCAATTAACAATTTGTAGAAAAAGATGGCGCAGGATTTGCTATTAGCAAAATTTATAAAATTGTTATTAGCAAATATTGCGTTAGCAATATTTGTGGCGATGAACTTTCAAGTTCCTAATGCCAATTAATAATAATAATCCTCTTGCAATTTATCTAACAAATAAATGACCAATTTATCCAAAATTTCAATTAACAATTTGTAGAAAAAGATGGCGCAAAATTTAGCGTTAGCAAATATTGCGTTAGCAAATTGCGTGGCAATGAACTTTCAAGTTCCTAATGCCAATTAATAATAATAATAATAATAATATCAAAACATACTTATATGTTTTATATATATGCAATACTATAAAATTTACACATGATTTTCAATAGATAATAATTCATAATGAAATATTTGATCAAAAATCATCATCATATATAAAAAAGAACAACAGTTATTCTAAACACTTTTTTTGACAGCACAAAATGACGAAGTAAGTTTAACGTAAACCACTTTATAACTTGTTTAAAAATATATATATATATATATAAATATATTTTTTAGTCTTCCTACGCGTAAATGTTCTCAACTACACGAACAAGATGGTCTCTGAGTGTGTGTAGGTGTCCCTATTCTCTTCTCTCACACTACTAAATAAACTAAAAATTAGGCTAACACTTATGTTAAAAGTAAAATTGGAGTTAAGTAAGTCGTCCAGAAATATCGAGTGAGAAAAAGAAAAAGAAGAAGAAGAAGAAGAAGGAAGAAGAAGAAGAGGAAGAAGAAGAAGAAGAAGAAGAAGAGTGTTCGATACGGCAGCACACAGCACAATGTGAACCGGCTCGTGTTGAGCTGATTTTTCCCTCTGGTTTATTTATAAATGCATTAATATCTTCTCTCTCTCTCTCTCTCTCTCTCTCTCTCTTTCATACACATACGCATACTTAGTCTTCCTCTCACTTTCTCTGTCTATTCTCAATGTCTGAATTCTCGGTGTCTGAATTTTAACCACTTATTCTTTGTAATTTGATCAATAACAAGAAAAAAATAATACAACAAAAATATATCATTCAAGTATTAAATTTAGGTGTCTTTTTAAACGTATCATTCAAAAAAAAAAAAAAGAAGAATTTATTTCAAACTATTAATTACAAACTCATCTTTCAAGATTTTCACTTTCATCGTGAGTTAATTAAAAAAAAAAAAAAAATTGATTATAAAGGAAACTTTTCGTAGAAAAATAGAAAAACCACTGATTTTCTATTTTAAGGAAGTTTGATCTTGCAACTTAAAAAGGAAAAAAAGAACTTCTTTATTATTTCTGTTGACTTTTTTTGTCTTCTTATTGAGTCACTCGATAAAATGACGGAGAGTTAGGTGATGTCATAAATTACCTTTTACGAATAGGGTAAACTCTAATCGCAAGGAAGGAAGGAAGGTAGGAAGGTAGGTAGGTATAGAAAATACAAAAAGAAATGAGAGAGAAAATGTGAGAAAGTTCATTTAGTATTTTCCCTCTTTTTTAAAGTACCGATAATGTATGATTATTTTATTTATAGGAAAATGAATGACGTGAATTGATAGTTAGCCAGGACGAATGTTACATACAGTCAGGTGGATTGTTAATTGTCTCTATACTCTAACTATAATACCTGTATCTGTGGTAGTAGTTATTACTGTGTATGTAGATACATGTAAGTAAATAGAAATACAAGCATGGTTGTGAATTGAATTTACAATTGATTTGTCATGAATTACATTTGATTTTCTTTTTATGTATTAAACAGAAACAATATGAGAGCTGATATTGAATTGTTTCATAAATGTTACTACTATTTTTACTATTATTTGGTGCTTGCTAATCGTAGTCGTTGATAATGATGATGATAATCTAATTCAATTGCTGCCTAAGTTTTACTACTATTTGCTGATACTAAGTACTTGCTATTATTTGGTGCTTGCTAGCTGTAGTTGTTGATAATGATGATGACGATGACGATGATGATGATAATCTAATGAAATTGCTGCCTAAGTTTTACTATTACTTGCTGCTACTTGGTGCTTGTTACTACTTGGTGCTTGCTACTATTTGATGCTTGCTAGTTGTAATCGTTGATAATGATGATGATGATGATGATAATCTAATGAAATTGCTGCCTAAGTTTTACTATTACTTGTTGCTACTTGATGCTTGCTGTTTGCTACTTGGTGATTGCTGTTTGTTACTTTTCAATGACTATTATTCAATATTAGAAACTCGTCGTTCTTGTTAATGATAATAATGATCTAAAGTAATAAATAATCTTACCTTTTTACTCGATTTGAAGACGTTACATTTGAATGTGTTACTGCTACCGTCTCGAGCTATGTAACTAAATATTTTCAAGTCGTGACTATCGTGGGAGACGTAGAATATCCTGAAAAAAGAAATAATAACAATTTACAATTAATATCTATTTCTTATTTTTTATTATTTCAATTATACAAACAAAAGTCATTCGTTCTTACCTGTAAATTGGATGATGCATGAGATACATTTTGTTCTCTTCCATCCATTGCTGTTTTTTCTAGAAGAGATAAAAAAAAAAAAAAAGAAACAGAGAATATAAATATTAATAACTTATAAATGATATTTTTTGAAAAGATTCTCTTCTAACTCCTCTCTCTCTCTCTCTCTCTCTCCTTTCCCTCAACCCCCCTTCCTGTATTGACACGAATACACACTCATGGCAAGTATCCAAATCCATTTCTCGTTCTAAATCGCCACTTCGTTTTTAGTTGCGAAATGGTTCATCATTTGAGAACCTAATGTACGTACTTATACATGTATGTGTGTGTTCATGTGTGTATATGTATATATATATATATATTATATACCTTCTTCTTCCGGAGCATGACCTTCAACCCGTCGACCGATACCTCCAACGTCACTTTCTTCTTTTTGATCCCTTTCGCCTTAAAGTCGTACTGATACAAATTTTACGATTCATTTGAAAAATATTTGATAAGAAATAAATCTTATAAAATTATGAACAATTGATGTTAACTTACGCGAATCCTTCGCATCGCCGCCACGATCTCAACTCTGCTGGTTGGTCGAGGTACCTCCATAGAACCAATGAACTTAGGTAATAACAAACAAACAAATATATATAATAAATTAAAAAATGAATTAAGTATTAACAGATTGATATAAATGAATAATAATAATAATTTTGAAACTACAAATACAAATCATAAATAATTAACAAATTATTTAATACTTTGACCAAAGTTTGAGTTATGAGTTATGATTTAAGAATAGAAAAAAATAATAAATAATAAAATAAATAATAAATAATTAAACAAAAATATACATTGACCAGAGTTTGAGTTATGGTTTAAGAATAAATAATAATAAAAATATTAAATACATTGACCAAAGGTGACTTATGAATTTAAATCAAAAAATGTTTCATCTTCAATGAATTTGAATTCATTCAAAAATCAATTGAATGAATTCAATTCAATTTTATATATATATATAACATTTTTTTTTAAATAATATTCTCTATTATTATTATTATTATAAATAAATAAAAGATAAAACATCATATCCGCGTTCCAAAAGTTTTTCTTATGGATCAACGAATGATATATCTTTTTCTTTCTTACTAACACCACATACACATATACATATATATATATTGAGCACCTCTAACACAATCCGTATTTAGAAACCCCCCCATTGAAGCTACGACTACCAGGGGCCACGTGTTCGAGCGTTTCTAGTTGCACGTGGTAGTTCTCCCACATATGTAACATATATGCTTAAGAAAAATCGCAAGGTCTAATAGTAAGGTGGCTATCTACCTTCAACTAGTCTACAATTCTACTACTACTACTACTACTACAACCATTAGTACTATTCTTTTTATTGATGAATTAACGATCGATAGTTGGATGTTAAAGTGACTCGTAGGAATACACAAGTTTTCTTATAAAACCCCTCGCGAATGGATACAACTGAAACAACCCCCTCTTCCTCATCCTCATCCTCCTCCTCCACCTCCTCCTCATCCTCCTCTTTTTCTTCTTCTTCTTACTTGCAAGTTTCTGTGTTCTGATTCTGACAATACGTTGTAACAAACAACATCAATGAAATATTTTCAATAATTCAAATGCACTCTATCGATCTTATTTTTTCTTCTTCTTTTTCAACTTAAAAATGCACTTGGGTTTATTCTCAATTGAAATTTCGTAGAAATTTATAAACGTAAATCTGTCTGTCTGTCTGTCTGTCTGTCTGTCTGTCTGTCTGATTCTGTGTTTGTATGTGTGAAAGAATGAGAGACAGAGAGTTTTAAGGAGAGCTTTATGAGCTTTAAAGCTCGAGCTCACACAAAAGCTTCGACCTTTCTTGGAACGTGTGTACTACTGAAATAAACACTTGTACAATGACGTCATCACGACGGTACCGGCATAGTCCGAAAATATCTCGTGTCGTTGCCGTCCACCTCCTCCTCCTCCTCCTCCTCCTCCTCTTCCTTAGTTGTGTTGTTGCACCATACTCTCAAGAAATATTAGATTTTTTTTCTATTTCTTCATTAATTTAAATAAAACCTCTTACTATTACCCTAAATCAACCCCTAATCAAAACCTCTGGTGCGTTTCTTCTTCAGTATACGTAAAACTAACTTTCCTATAATCATCTGAAGATGATCCAACTGTTGATCGTTGAATCAGCTGATTTGAATCAACTCAAGTATCTTGAATCAACTCAAGTAGCCTAAATCAACCCCTAATCAAACCCCCAGGTGTATTTCTTCTTCACCATTCGTAAAACTAACTTTCTTAAAGTCATCTGAAGATGATCCAACAGTTGTTCAGTGGATCAGCTGATTTGAATCAACTCGAGTAGTCTAAATCAACCCCTAACCGAACCCCCAAGTATATTTCTTCTTCACCATTCGTAAAATTAACTTTCTTAAAGTCATCTGAAGATGAACCAACTGTTGATCATTGAATCAGCTGATTTGAATCAACTCAAGTAGCCTAAATCAACCCCTAATCGAACCCCCAGGTTCTGGGGGTTCTTCATCATTCGTTAAACTAACGTTCCTATAGTCATCTGAAGATGATCCAACTGTTGTTGAGTGGATCAGCTGATTTGAATCAACTCAAGTAGCCTAAATCAACCCCTAATTGAACCCCCAGGTACGTGGGATGTTCTTCTTCACATACGATGATTAAAATTGTTATTAATAATAAAAAATATGATTGGCCAATTGGTGATTATTACCTTGGCGTGGAAGACGATTCCACGGTGAAAAGCCTCCTCACTGTGTAGTGGTATTCGTGTATCATACTCGTCATTATGCACGAGATTATACTGCTTCTTAGATGGCATGCTTCTTTCAGCTTCATTCGATCTCGTTCGTCCAGTCTCGCTAAAAATTAAACGTGTTTTTTCTTGTTTGTTTTTTTTTTTGTATTATCAGTTTGATCATCGTAGAATTATTTGTCAAATGAAGGATTTATTCTAATTAATTCTAATGAAAGTAAAACAATGTTTGAGAATTTAGTGTTCAATTTTTTTGTTTTGTTTTGTTTGATATTGTTTTACAAAGAAAAACATTTGCACTAAAGTATTTTGCAAGTAATTAGAAAAAAATGTGAAGTTCAATTAAATTCTGAATCACGTCTTGTGATTTGATCATGAGTTAGTACAAATCCTTAAAGCATACGTGTAAAATCTCAGACTGGGGTAGTGTAGTGGATGAAGCACGTGCTACAAGTGGCCCCGAATTCAAGGTCACGTACACGTACTTTGTATCTCATCGTACTACGAATTTATCCGAGTATTATGATCTCTCACCTAACTTAATATAATAATCCTTATAATATATATATATATATATATAAAATAAAATGAAATATTGGGATCTCTGGCAGGGACGTGACAGGGGCAAAATTCGACCTATCTACTCTAATTTTGAATTTAGTTACCAGATAGCGTATTCAAGTGCTAGAGATCCCAATATTTATATTATTAATAATTAATTAATTAATTAATAATAAAATTAAAAAATATATATATATATATATATATATATATATATATATATATATATATAT